AAGTCATCCACTAATATGCTATCATTTCACAAGGTTTGCTATAACTGCCATTTAATTCACTGATTTCTCCATTTCTGTTTATTTATATGGGTTCATCTGTCTTTTTACTTTGGGGTAACAATAGAAATGAAAGCAAATGTTATTGTTAACCCTAATAAAACACCACACTCCAAAAATGCACAGAGAATTAGGTCAGATATTTATAAGCTGTTTCACATGGAACAGCCAGAACAGCTCAAAGAGATTCAGATTCAAGGATAACAAATTATTTAGCTGCCAGTGACAGATATAGCATGATCAGCTGCTCTGAATCTGATGTTGCTCCCTCCAGATCCCTATGCTTAAAGGCCAGATGCAGTCTCCAAACCCTTTTGTGATGCTCCACAATTTCTGAAAACCAGCAGCACAGTTTTTTGTCATCTTGAAGCTGGAAGCACACAGAAACGATAATGGAGACCCTGAAATAAGGTTAATATTTCAAAAACAAAGAAAACCTCCAGGACTTCCGCTCAAAAATTCAGGGGAAAAAAACCCCCAAAACCTGACTTCTCCCTATGTGCACAATATTGCTCCCCCCCTCCCATGGGACATACTTTACTATAATTAATATAATATGCAAACTGACCATCAATACTTGCAGAGTGTCACCAACCTTTTAATTCCACTGTTGTTTAGGGACAAGGCAGGACATATTTATGCTGTACACGTTTCAAAAGTGTTTGGAAGAAGTGTTTTGGATCTTGTATAAGCCCATCTCTCTCAGCTATTCATTAAAGCAGCCCAACTGTCTTTAGGTTTTTATGCAAGGCTGAAAAAAAAGGATGCCACTTTAAGGAATACATTCATTAATGCAACCGTTTAGCTATAGTAGCTTTCTTCAGGCACACAGGGAAGCTAGATTACTTTAAAGAGCGGTAGAGAGTTGCTACATTTATACTTGCATGAGATCCAAAAAATTATTTCTGAATCATTTTCAAAGCATGCCTAGCACTAGGACAGTGTTTGCCTTTTGAAAATTGTCAAGGAGATCTAATTTTACAGTCAATTTTCCACATAAGAATATAACCACATGACTCAGGATTAGAAATATGGTAGCATTCTGGTTATAACTAAATTGGTGCATTTGCTTGAAGACTTAAGGTTAAGTCTTCATAAGGTTTCAATGGAGAAATTTGTTATGTTTCCATTGAGCAAGGAAAATTGGGCAAGCAAAGCTGAAACAGCCATGCTAGCTGGGGATGGTGAGTGCTGTAGTCTAATACATTTGGAGTGCAGTTTGGGAAAGGCTGAGCAATGTTATCATCCAGCTGGAGGTCAGAACCCCTAGAGCAAACTAGAAGAGTGTGAATGGAAGGGAGGACTATGATCTCCAATAACAGCAGCTTAAAAGCCATACAAAAGTCATTTTGGAATGAAGCTCTTTTTGCATCTTTTTCCCATTTCAGGACCTGGAATGAACTTCAGTATTTTAACTCAAGTGCAGAAATGGAAATTTCCATAGACTGTCCAGAAGTTACAAGCGAAACAGTTCTAGGCTGGCCAAATATCCTTTTCTTTACAAGGAAAAATGAAACTTCCTATGAGGACATGGCGGACAACAATATCAAGGAGACAACACATGCACTAAGGCACTTCTATAGGTTTCACAGGCCTTTGTTTGGGAATCTGGTTATTTATTCAATGCATCAGGTCACATGATACAAACCTGTAGCAGCTTTTTTGTCCGTGCTGATTGCACAGAAGTTCATTCCAGATGAACAGTAGAATCAGCAGAATATTCCCTGTATAACATAATATGTTGTAATGTTTTCATACAAACCTGAACAAACATCGTGACTGACTGCTAATGCCCTGTTTCATGGCTCTCCAGTACTGATAAAAATGTAAATAGGTACAAGGTTCAAGTTTTGGAACAATAGCCCAAGAGAGGACTACTTGATCTCATCTCTGCTGGCTCTTTTGTAAGCAGCTAAGCTTTTGGGGGAATGCTGCTTCTCAGTGGGCACATCCTCGCTGCCATTGTTTCTGTTCCTCAATTCCTCAATAGAAGTTTGGAAATCATTTTTCCCCCACTGATCTTGCCGTGCTGAGAAAAAAATAGCAAAGACTCAGAGTCCTATCCTCACTTTATACAAAAGGAAAATGATTTGCAACTACCACCCATATCCTTTCTTCATATGGTATGCATTTGTCTGGTAGTATGCAAAAACACTGAGTGCAATTTACTGCAATTTCAAATACACCATTTGAGCTGAAATGGAGACTCCATTCTGGAACACTACCAAAGCTGTAGGATCACAAAAGTTCTCAGCCTATTTCAAACTCATGCAGAAGCCTTGTGGTAAAGTGCCCAATATTATGTTAAGATGCTGCCTGGGCTAAAGTGCTGATTGACTATGTCCTATCATTTCCCCTCCCATGATCATTTCCATAAATAACTTTTCTCATTTAGTTTTCTTCATTCACCAAGGTCCAGTAATAAAATGTTACAGTCAGAGGTCTGGTTGTTTTCAACTATTAAAGATGAGAATACATTTCAAAAATGTAGATTAGAGTTGTTGACAATGTCTTTTCCATAGTCTATAGCAGTGTTTCTCAACCTGGGCCACTTGAAGATGTGT